GACAAGACCATCAGCTACACAGGCTGTGCCATCCAGCTCTTCCTGTTCCTGGGTCTGGGCGGTGTGGAATGCCTACTCCTGGCAGTCATGGCATACGACCGTTTTGTTGCCATCTGCAAGCCCCTGCACTACATGGTGGTTATGAATCCACGGCTTTGCCTGGGCTTGGTGTTGGTGGCCTGGGGCTGTGGCGTGGCCAACTCGTTGGTCATGTCCCCAGTCACCCTGCGCTTACCCCGCTGTGGGCACCGCAGCGTGGACCACTTCCTGTGTGAGATGCCCGCCCTCATCCGCATGGCCTGTGTGAACACAGCTGCCATAGAGGGCACCGTCTTTGTCCTGGCGGTGGGCATCGTGCTGTCACCCCTTGTGTGTATCCTGGTCTCCTATGGCTGCATCGTGAGGGCTGTGTTACAGATTCAGTCAGCATCAGGGCGGCACAAGGCCTTCAACACCTGTGGCTCCCATCTCACAGTGGTCTCGCTTTTCTATGGAAACATCATTTACATGTACATGCAACCCAGAAACAGCTCTTCCCAGGACCAAGGGAAGTTCCTCACCCTCTTCTACAACATTGTCACCCCGCTTCTGAACCCCCTGATCTACACCCTCAGAAACAAAGAGGTGAAGGGGGCCCTGAGGAGGCTGCTGCTGCGTGACAGAGAGGGAGGCAAGGAGCAAAAGTGAACGGGCGGGTGATACAGGCGTCCCTAGCCTGGTCACGAACTCCACCAGGGGCCACGGATGGCGCTGGGGATCGTTGGCTCAGATCTGTGCTTCTTAACTTACATGCTTTTTTCCCCTGGACTTCTGTGTGACTGTTTTAATTCCAACATTATATATTTTCATAAGTGCACTGCAAAAAAAAAAAAAAAACCATCCCAAACCTCTCTGGATGATCTTATAAAGCTGGTCTGAAGAACAAAGTGAGGTAAATAGTTATAAAGATGAGTTTCTGCAACTTATGCCAGAGTGCCAAGTAGGAAATTACTTTTCTTAAAGAGAATTTTGCTTTTGTTGTTTTTTTGTTTGTGATGCATTAATAAAATTATGGCTATTTTAGAATAATCACAAATTGGTTACTTCTCTTATTTAACAGCCATCAAACATAGGACATTGGGTGTTTTTATTCCCCCAATTCCCATACAGATCCTTTTATCATATCATATGGTTTTGTCTATTCTTTGTCCCCAGACTTTGCTTTGTCCCCAGACTTTGGCATTTTCCCCAAAGCCTGGTGTACGATTCTGGATAAACCAAGAAGTTAGCCTGTAACAATGATATATGAGTCATTTAAATCTTAAAGCATCATTATTTCTCAGGTATGTTTCTATTTTGTTAGTGAAAAGGACCTGATGCTTATTAATTCCCTAATGAGTCAGGTGCTCTGAATTCATTT